TCTGAATTTCAAATGGAGTTGTCCAAAGAGAAAACATCCTCTCTACTTTGTCAATCCCCTTTGTAATCAAATCTCCCCTCATTCTTGTAAGATCTTGAGAGTTTAAGCCTAAACTAGTCAATCTCTCTTATTAGGCAAACCCCTCATCTCTGGAATCAATTGAATGAACTTCCTCTGAGCTGTCTTCAATGCAACTATATCTGTCCTCAAAAAAGAGTACTAAAACTGTAAGACTCCAGTGCAGTCTCATTAATGCCTTGTATAGTTGTAGCAACACCTCCCTACTCTTATACTGTATGCCTTTAGCAATAAATGTGAAAGTTCCATTTGCCTTCCTTATTACCTGCTGTAACTGCATACTAGTTTTGAGATTTATGCACGAGGACAGCTAGATCCCTCTGCACCAAAGCAGTCTGAAGTTTTTTGCCCATTTAATTTTAATTCTTTTAAATTCCTAATCCATTTCATTAAAAGTGACTATGGAAATGTGACTGCTCAACATGATACCTTGAGGAATTAAAAAAAAGAATGTATCAAGTGATCTACATATACTACTCCAAACATCTTTTTGAAACATTAATTAACAACAGCATTAAGTCTGATCAGAAGAAACTGTTTATCTACTTCACAGTGTAATATTTGGAAGTGATTCATCACATGCTTTTTTATTTCTGGACAATCCAGTTTTAACACACTTCAATACCCAAGATAACAGGATTTGTTGAAGGCACCAACATCTAGAAGTTTAAGCTATTCAGAAATGTTAAAACTTTAAATTTAAAAACTTTAACACTAAAAAAAATTGGACCATTAAATCCCACATCTTAGATGGTGAAATACTGCATTGCACCCATTATATATTAATAAGTGGCAAGTATATTACTGCAGAAATTATATTGCTATTATATGCATTGAGTATGTCTTGTGTAACTTTAACTCATCAGCAACTTACATCTGGTAGCTTTGCTCAGGGATTTTCAGTTACTGTTCCTAAATATCAATTCTTCTTTTATCATCTGCTATTTATAGAATTCCAAGAAACACTGCTTGATAGAGATTCTTTTCATTTAGAATACAGATACTCAGTCTGCGTTCTGAAGTTGTACGTGCATTGACAAAAAATTCTATTTTGGCCAAAATACAGGGCAAATGCATTCTAACATGACCTTTGATGATTGAAAAATGTACGGTGAATAGATGGTCCCATGCAGCAAGATCAAAAAGTGGTAAGAGAAATGGGTTGGGGTTGAGATCAAGGCCAAAAAGGACGTCAGATCCAAAAAGGAGGCAAGTCAGATGCAATGAGGCTCCCACAATATCAGGGGATTTGAGGTTTACTGAAGCACAATGAATCTTACTATCACTATATCTTTAAAAAAATCATTGCCATTCAATTCAATGAGTAGCTAAAATAACCTTCAATAGGGCTTCAAAGAGTTATTCTCAGCATAAGAATATATTGTGATATTTAGCAGCTGCTAATCTAATCTGTGCTTCAAGAGCTGTAACTTTAAAGAAAGCCAGATGATTGCACTTATTCAGAAACTGTTGTCACAGGACAGCTGTAATAACTTCAGCATTTCAGGCCCAATACAGTTTTAAAATGTTAAAATAAAACAAAGAACTGCAGATACTAGAAATCTGAAACAAAACAGACATCGCTGGCAAAACTCAGCACGTCTGGCAGCACCTGTGGGAACAAAGCCGAGTTTAATATATTAAAGTCTGGAGTCTTTTCATTAGTACTGTCAGCTCGGGAAAAGTGATATTTGTGCCAAAGACAAAGTGTGGATGGAGGGGTAAGAGAAGACAGAGTAAGAGAGAGAGTGTGCCAATATGTGGCGATGGAGCCCACAGAGATATGGAAGGGAAACAAGGAAATTATGGATAGCAGGCCAGGACAGAAGAAAAGCTGAATAAGTGATAATAAGAGCTAAAAGAGTAGGAGAGAATGGGTAACTGTGCCAAAAACAAGCCATTTCATAATAGGAACGGGTGTGGGATGGGTAAAAAAGAAATGGAAGAATCGAATCAGACTCTAAAATTACTGAATTCTACATTAAATCTTAGAAGCTGCAGGGTCCCCAACCAGAAAATGTTATTCTCCGAGCTTGCACTGTGGCTCACTGGAACACTGCAGTAGACCGGTGACGGAAATGTTGGCCAGGGAACATATTGGTGCGTTGAAATGGCAGGCAGCTGGAACCTCAGTGTCATTTTTGCTGACAGAACATAGGTTCTCTGCAAAGTGGTCACAACAGTGATAGCATTCTCCCCTGGTCCTCACTTACCACCCAGCCTCCACATCTGCCATTTTCGTCATTTTCACTGCAATACTACAACTGGACACATACTCCCCTCCACTCCTTGTTAGCATTCCCCAGGGACTGTTCCCTCTGGGACACGTTGGTCCACTCAAACACCTCCCCACAAAACTCTCCCATTTGACTGCACAAGGTGTAACACCTGCCTGTTTACCTTCTCCTTCCTCAACATCTTCAATCCAGGCATACTTGCCAGGAGAAGCAGCAATTTGCTTGTACTTCATTCAATCTAGTCTATTGTATTCAAACAGGAATTTGGAAAAACACAGCAAGCCAGATAGCATCTGGAGGAGAAGTAGTCAATGTTTCAGGTATTACCCTTCTTCAGAACTAGATGTGGAGGTGGGGGGAGCTGCAGATAAAGAGAGGGGCAGAGGTAGAGGAATGGTGGTGATAGGTGGACACCGGTAGTAGGTATGACCAGATTGGTCAATGCGAGGGATGAATCAGGTTAGTAGGCAGAATGAAAGAGAGCTGGGGGATGAGTGGGAAAGTTATTTGAAATTAGAGAACTCAATATTAAGTCCTCCGGGCTGCAGGGAGCCCAGAAAGAAATAGGAGGACATCCAGGATGCTTGGGAGTAGAAGAATCTCCTCATCAGAGCAGATGCGACAGAGACTGAGGAATTGGAAAAATGGGATGGAGTTTTTGCAGGATTACAGGGTGGGAGGAGGTGTGGTCCGTGTAGCTATGGGAGTCAGTGCGTTTATAGTAAATGTCGGTCCGTAAACAGTCACCCGAAATGGAAACTGTGTGATCTTCTGTACATCAGTGAGACCAAACATAGACTAAGTGACCGTTTCGCCGAGCATCTTCGCCTGGGCCAAAATGGCCAGCCTAACCTCCCGGTCACTGCCCATTTCAACTCCACCTACCACTCCCCCTCCAACATGTCCATCCTCAGCCTCCTCCAGTGTTGCAGGGAATCAGATTGCAAGTTTGAGGAACAACACCTTATCTTCTGTCTGGACACCTTACAACCCAAAGGACCTAACATTGAGCTCTCTAATTTCAAATAACCTTCCCACCCATCTCCTGGCTCCCTTTCCAGCCCATCTCCTCCCTTTCATTCCACCTATGGCCTCCTCCCTGCCATTCCAGCTACCAACTAGATTCATTCTTCCCATCAACCAATCAGGTTGTACCTACAACTGGTATCCACCTATCACCACCATTTCATTACTCCCCCCCGCTTTATCTGCAGCTCCCCCTACCCCCACATCCAGTCCTAAAAAAGGGTAATACCGAAAACGTTGACTTCTTCTCCTCCAGATGCTGCCCACGCTGTTTTTCCAGCCTCCTTTTTGTCTACCTTGGATTCCAGCAGCTGCAGTTTTGGTGTCTCTAACCTAGTCTGTTGTATTCGTTGTTCACTGCGTGGGCTCTTCTATACTGGGATGGCGAAATACAGACTGGGTGACTGTTTTGCAGAACACCTACGTTCTGTCCACAAAAGTGACACTGAGCTTTCAGTTACTTGTCACTTCAACACACCACCGTGTTCCCATGCCATCATTTCTGTCACAGGACTGACAAGATCAAAGAATCCCCTTTTCTGGTTAGGGACCCTGCAGTCTCGAAGACTCAATATCAAGTTCAATAAATTTAGAGCCTGCTTCCAGGCTTCAATGTTTTTTATTCATCTCACACCCAGTCCTGTTATGAAACCCATTCTCACCCACTCCAAGGCCTATTTCCACGTTTGTTTTATTCTTGTTTTTTTTTCTTTATTCATTCACGGGTTGAGGGGCGTCGCTGGCTAGGCAGCATTTATTGCCCATCCCTAATTGCCCAGAGGGTAGTTCAGAGTCAACCACATTGCTGTGGGTCCAGAGTCACACGCAGGCCAGACCAGGTAAGGATAGAGGTTTCCTTACCTAAAGGTCATTAGTGAACCAGATGGGTTTTTCTGACAATCGACAATAGACAATAGATTCATAGTCATCATTTGATTCTTAAGTCCAGATTTGTATTGAATTCAAATTCCACTATCTGTCATGGCAGGATAGTGGAATGTTTTCAGTGCAACTCACTCATTCTCTACTACGCTTAGTCTTACGATTACTATTTTAGCTTTTCTTTTGTCCTGGTCTACTATTCATAAATTCTTTGTTTACACATCTTGTTCATATCTCTCTTTGGGCTCCATCTCCACTATCTGCTCATCTCATTCCAAACCCACCCCACCCCCCAACTTTGTCTTCAGCATAGATATAAATTTTGCCTAGCTGCTAACTGTTCTTATGAAGAGTCACCAAGAGACTTGAAATGTTAACTCTGCTTTCTTCCCACAGATGCTGCCACATCTGTTGAATTTCGCCAGCAATTTCTGTTTTAGTTTGAAAATGCTTTAAGGACAGTTTTAAAATGTTGCCTTGAAGTTTTAACAGAATTTGATTAGCTGTATGTGACAGACCCCCGTTGAGACATTTTGAACAAAATATATATGGCGTAGGGATGAACTGCCGTAGGGAGGAAAGGGGTCATTTCTAATGAGGAAGAGAATATTACAACCCATATCTGAGCTGCAAAGTTGTAGAATAAGATTCAATATGCTTCAATCCAAAAGTCTTCACATTCAGCGTTATAAATGATCGATATACAGCAATGAAAAATGTTAGCAATTATTGATCAAACACAGCTTCAACATTAAGTTTTCAAATTTCCTATTCATCTCTTACTTAATAACTATTAAGAGTTATTCAAATCTTGCATAAGACGGAGAATTATGTAACTTGAACATTTCAACAAAGCAAAGTATCCAGGATGTTAACAGACCCTCTCGTTAAGAACCACCATCCAAATATTGTTCAGACTCACGAAACTGGATTGACTAATTATGCAACACAAAGGGTCAACATTCTTGGCATTTTCAAAGAATATTTTAAAATTGCTATTAATCAGAGTGGTTTATAACTAAGAATGTGAACTGTACAGCAGAATAATTCAGACTACATTGTATTCCTTACTTTGTTTTTTCAACAAGAAACGTATCTCAATATCAAGTAGCTTCTTTCACTTGTTCAGTGTCGTCCTGACAGTTTATCTTCAATTTCTTTAATGCTGCTTCAGATGGAACTATTTGGACACAAGACTCTACAGCTTTTACTATTTCACTGATTGTCCATTTCTCCTCTTGAAGTGCATGTTCATCCAAAGTAAAAGGACCCTGTTTGGTTCTGATCAACTCCTTTACATGGGCACATGAAGAAAGTTCTTAACAAAAAGAAAATTGCATTATTATATGACATTAATTTCATGGGAATTGCTCCAACAGGGAAAATAAAACTGTGAATGGCATTAATCTTTATTGATTGAGTTCTTTTCTATAAGAAAAATTTACTTCTTTATTCCTACCTTTGCCAAGGTCATTAACCAAACTGCGGACATAAAACCCACCACCACATTCAACATCTGAAATAAAAACGTACCACTTTAAGCCAGCTAGTTTAGAGCATAAATCAGTCTTTACCCTTCTCCGAGCAACATCTTACAAACTCGAATGTCTACATTTTGGAGGGCTAAACAAAATCTTATTTAGGTAGTACACTAAGTACAGTAGGACAAATATGTACAATCCATATGGAAAAAAAGATTGATACAAAAAAAATTTATTTACAATTCAGAGTTAACTGCTCTGGATCCACTTCAGCAGCGGAGTAGAACATATTCCTAGAATTCATCACAAATAGATAGGGCCATTTTACCACATCTCAAAGATGCAAAATACTTGTTATTCCTGTTACAACATCTCCCTATATCTTCAACGTTTTTGCCTCTTCTACTCTCAAACCATGTGACAATCACTTGTTGTACAAGAATGATTTTCCATCAGTCAGTAATGAATGCCTTAGTAATCTGAACTTGTTCCAGCAAGCTTTAGTTGAAATGCGTGTTCACTTGTGTACTTTTTATAGAATTCCACAAGATCATTTTTTAGTCACTGGATTTCAAGGCTGAAAAGTCTAGGTTTCAAGTTTTTTTTTCTCATAACTCAATGTTCTTCACATGCAGCTTATTGACAGAACAGGGTTAATCATAAACTGAGTGGTGTGAAGAATTTGATGATTGCAGGAATTTGAGGGAGACTAAGTAAGCGACTCAACAGAAGTAAAACTACAGAGCCAGAGGATGTGAAACTAATACCTAAGCTAAACATCTAGATATCTAATGTGACATGAGGGAAGAAAGTGCATGGGAGAATAGAATTGAGGGTGTGTAGTAGTATTGAGTCAGATAGGTAATTCTGTTGCCAATAAGACCCACATGTTGTGCCGTCTCTCTGCAACCAGACTAAGAGACTTCATTGAGAGGAATGGATGGGCAAAGGTTGTGTCTATGTCAGAATCAGGACAGAGGGGGATTGAAGTCCCCAAAGTCAGTTTTGCAAGAATTGAGGAAGGTAAAACGCAGTATCTGAAAAAAATAGCTGTAATTGCTGGATTACTCCAAGTATTACATGCTAGAATTTTCAGAAATGAAAAAATATGTTAGGCTATTGCATGACTAGGAAAAGTGGAAAAGGTAGGGCTTCAGACCCCTGGATACTGGAACCACTTCTGTATGCGTGGAATGAACATGCACAAAGTTAATATCAATGTTCATCCAGGTAGGATACAGAGTGCTGTGAAAAAGGGTGTAAACTAATTCAGCAGGCGTTTAGGCAATGAGGGGTGGAAACAATGTGCACTGGCATTGATAGTCTCAGAAATAGTCTCTCGGGGTGGCACGGTGGCTCAGTGGTTAGCACTGCTGCCTCACAGCGCCAGGGACCTGGGTTCAATTCCACCCTCGGGCAACTGTCTGTGTGGAGTTTGCACATTCTCCCCATGCCTGTGTGGGTGCTCCAGTTTCCTCCCACAGTCCAAAGATGTGCAGGGTAGGTAGATTGGTCATGCTAAATTGCCCATAGTGCCCAGGGATGTTTAGGTTAGGTGGGTTAGACACGGGAAATGCAGGGGTAGGGGAACGGGTGTGGGTGGGATGCTCTTCAGATGGGCGGTATGGACTTGTTGGGCTGAATAGCCTATTTCCACACTATAGGGATTCTATGAATTTTTCTATGAAAAGAATACAGAACAAGTTAGAATCATCCAAAGTATGAAGTGATCCCAGTTAAATAATTGGCATTTCGATAAATGGACTTCAAAGTGCAGTTGATAAGGGCATTGAACTGCAGATGCAATTAGCCATTGAGGGAACAAGATTTAGTGTCAATGATATGGACCCGCAGTTAAATAAAAATGCTTAAAAATTGTTCTGGTGAAAGAAAATCAGGAAACAGAAGTAAAACGGATTAGATAATATGTATTATACGAAAAAAATCCTCAAGGGATCAAAGATAAAATCTATTTGGTTGGAACTTCAAAACAATAAAGCCACTCTTGCTTTACAAACTAAAGAATGGCAAAGAGTTAAAGGAACAGATTTTAAAAGAAATCTGAGGTGCAGGAACGATAGGGGTGTGAGAATGGGAGACTTAACTGTGCTAACACTGAACGGGACAGCAGTTGTGAAAGGGAAAGGGAGTGCAACCAAAGCAAGAGTTTCATGGGTGAAGGAGCTGGAAAGTAGAATGAAGCAGAAAAAGAGCATATAAAAATGTCACTTTTAATACAAGATAAGTCAGGGCGAATATCAAAATGAAGAAATGAGAGATAAAAAGATGTCACGAGGACAGATTGGTGGCTAATACAAAAGGAAACGCAAAAGTCTTCTATGAGCACATTAACACTAACAGTTGCTACAAGATTGTTGAGGGACCACACAAGAGAACTAGGAGGGCAAAATGAATGGCCGAGTTATTATATAGGAAAAGGACTTTGCCAAAACAATGTTAAATTAGCAGTCTTGTTAGATACCAGGTGATATTTTAATGGGGAGATAGCAGAGAGGGTGCAAATGCTTCCGTGCACAGATGGGATGCATCCTCTAAATTGCTAACGGAATTAAGAATATAAATTGTGAGGTGCTGGCCATAATCTCAAAGTCTCCTTGGAGATCTGTATGGTGTCAAAGGATTGGATGACTATAAATGTCACATTCTATTCAAAGAAATAAAAAAGTTAAACGTAGACATGACATTGTTGACATTAAATCTCAGTGGCGGGAAACATATAGAAACAGTAAGATGGTCTAATACCAACAATCATTTGGACAAATGTGGACTAAAGGAGTGCCAGAATAGAATTATTAAAGGCAAACTGTGTCCGACTAACTTGATTTGACTTTCTGGAAACAAAATATTCTAAAAAGGATGGAAAAGTGAATGGCTATTTTTCAGATCAGCAGGAGTTATATACAGACACTTAAAAACTTAGTCACAGTCTCGGTCTGAAGTCTCAGGTATATGTTAATGAATTGGACTTAAGAGTACAGGACACAACTGCAAAGTCTGCAAAAATATACGCAACTTTGATGCATAGCAAAAAATTGAAGAAACAAAAAGCTTATGTATACTGACAAATCATTTCCAAATTAATATTCCAATGAATTCATCTGCAAACTCTAATTTCACTGCTACTCGACTTTTTATCCTTCTGAAAAAGTTGGCATTAATTCTGCCATTCTCAACCATGTGTAAATTAGTAACTGTAATACATATATCTATATATACAAACATGTAAAATTTCCTCCTTTTCTTTACTGCCACCCTTGAAAAGTGAAACTTTCTCTTTAATAATAAATTGCAAGTACTGAGGTTGCATGCTTCTCCTTCAAGTAACTGAAGAAGTGACTTTACTTACTCAGAGTAAAGAGAGGAGGATTGTAATCCTGTACAGAAAGACTAAAAACCACAACAGGTCTGGCAGGTTTAGCTTCCACAGCTTCTCCCTTCTTTACTAAACAGGAAAGTCGTTGCCCATTTTGCTTCAAAGCAGAATATCTGAAAGCAAGGATTTAAAGCATTGTTAAACTACACTTCTTAATATAAAAGAAATTGCCAAATAATGTGAGATTCCCAATCACAATGAAAGACACAATGAAAAAAATCTGTAATGTTCATTATAAATTACATCCACAGCTTCAGATTCATCTAGTTTCTTCCGAGAACTAACATACAGCCTGCACCCATACAACCAACAGTTGTCTCTCTCTCTAACAAAAGAGCAGGCCTCTGGTCTGGTAAAACTATGGCAACTTTACCATAACCTCCCACTCTACCTCCATTCTTAACAGTGGGGGCCATTAAAACTCCTGCCTATAATTCTGAATGATTCATAAAGGCTGTTAATTAAAGGCTACAATGAAAGACTGTTTTTATATGTAAAATAGTACTTTAATACATCAAAGTGGCAAATAGATATGCAGGGTCAGAAAAACAAAATAGCAATTATCTCTTGTTATCTTCACAATACTAAAACCATGAAGCATTAACTTACATTGGAGGAGTCTGCATAATGTTTCCTGTAAATTTCTTCAGAGTACTTTCCAGGTCATCCTTCGTTATGTGATCTAGTTAATGACAAAATAAAACACACAAACTCTTGCCTTCACGCCAAAGAAGTGAGAAAAATTATTATTCCAAAGACTATTTCAGTTCAGAATAATCAAGATAGTATCACTTTTAAAATATATTTTAGATAATACACTGATTCTTGTGCTGTATTCCAGTGCAAAAATAACTTACTGCTACACGCCTTCCACATAGTTACTTGAGTAATTTAGTGGATTAGAGTACTGCACTTTCATCACTTGGTTGGAATCTAGCCTCACTGATAGGAGGAGTAACCTTTCACTGGATATCTATTTGCAACAAGTCTCGTAGATAAAGGTTGTTGGCACAGTACTATAAATTTCCCTTTGAAAGAGTACTGGTGCAAGGTTGTCAAAAATTCCATCGGGGCGATTAAATCACAATAAGAATTCATGAGGACGTAGACACACTTGTGGAAATATAGTTAAGTATGCGGTCATATATTGTCTCCATTATTCTTGCCAGAATGTATAATGAACGGTAACATTCTGAAAAGGGTGCAAGAAAACAGGACTGAGGAAGCATGTACACAAAATGTTGAAGGTGAAAAGATAGTTGGATTCTGGGCTACACAGAGGCCAGTACAAAAGCCGGGAAATGTTGAGACTTTATATAAAATGAGTTTAGCTCCAGGTGTGTTCCAATTCTGGGCACAATGCTGCAGAAAGACATGAAGGCATTTTGGAGAAGGCATTACAGAAAACTGTTTCAACTGTTTCAGGGATGGCGGTTTACTTTTGGGATGAACTGGGAAACTAAGGTTGTTCTCCCTAGAAGAGAAAATACCATGAGATTTGGTAGATTTGTTTAAAACTACAAACAATGAATGAAGTGTTAATAATCAGCTGGCACAGTTGTATTAAAAACAAAATACTAGGAAATTCTGGAAATCTGAAACAAACATGAAATCCTGGAGAAACTCAGCCGGTCTGACAGCATTTGTGGAGAGAGAAATGGAGTTGACGTTTGAGTTCAATATGGCTCTTCTTTAGATGCACAGATTTGAAGTCACAAGCAAAAGAACCATAAGTGACATGAGGAGAAACGTTTTTAAACCAGAGAGAGTTAAGATTTTGAATGCACTGCTTAATATGGTGGTTGCAGTGGCTACATATTCCACTATAGCCTTCAGAATGGAACTGAATAAATACTCAAGGCGAAAGCATCAGAGAGCTAGATGACTGGGACTGCTCTCAAAAGAGGCAGCATTAAAGTGATGGGCCAAATGATTTCCATCTGTGCTGTACTATTCTACGATTCTGATTACTGGGAGAGAACAGCGAAATCACTCTCCTTTGGCATCAAAGAATATCTGCACCAGGATTGCTCAACACTGCTTTTTTGTATTCTAAAGAGAGAAAACAAAACTAATCCATTCCTCAGACACAAAACACCTAGCCTTAAAAAAATTTGTGAAAACTTCCACATTTTCTCAGTTGTTAAAGAAAGTAGGTTGGAATTTCTACAGAAATGCCTCTTTATTGTTATTGAGATAATTTCTTGAGGTTTCTGGCAAAATTGCAGCAGGAAGTTGAATAAACGCCACAGAAACTTTTGCCCAGTAAGCAATGTGGAACTGAGTAACAAAAATAGTAACATCATAGTCCCTACAACAATCAATGCAAAATTATTTCAGCCAGAGAGTGGTAACAAATATTTACAATGAGCATCAACATACAACCCCACCATCCACTTCCACCTTGCCCAGGGACAATCAACTAAGGTTGGTCCTTCTGATATGTGTAAATATAACTAATGAAGTCAATTGAGGGCATGGTAAGACTTCAAATTTGAATGTAACAGTACTCAGTTGATTTACCTCATGTGAAAAGCATGAAAGGCTCAACACCCTTGGCACTTATTAAAGTCATACAATTTACGACTTTCAAGGGTGGGATGTACAGAAATCAAGGCAATGACACCATTCCTCCATTTCAAAAATTTACAGTCAAAGATCAAGCAAGAAAATGGTATTTAAACTGATTTAAATATGCTTCCAATTAATGCTTTCAGATGGAAAATCACAATATTCTTTATTGCATACAATGTCTATTCCCGCTCCAAGAAAAGATAGCTGCAATCACTACAGGGGATGTTAAATCCACTGCAAAGCTGAGCTAACACAAAGAAATATGCCTTCAACAAGGAGACGGTGTCAAAGCTCAACTAAGTACACAGAATTCAACAGCTCCATTCCAAAAGAATCAGCCTCGCACTTTTACTTAGAATTGTCAATTTGCTTTTGCTTCTCCTCTGAAGCAGATGAGGACTTACGAGAGATACCTACAAAACAGTCTTAAGTTTGAAGATTCAAAAACTGTTTTGTAACTACGGTCAGAAACAAAAGAAGGCATCTCACTTCATAGTTACTACTTTAGAGTCAGAGATACACAGCACGGAAACAGACCCTTCAGTCTAACTCATCTATGCCTACCACATATCCTAAATTAATGCAGTCCCATTTGCCAGCATTTGGCCCATATCCTCTCAACCTTTCCTATTCATGTAAACATCCAGATGCCTTTTAAATATTGTTATTGCACCAGCCTCCACCGCTTCCTCTGGCAGCTCATTCCACAAACGCACCACCATCTGTGTGAAGAAGTTGTCCCTTAGGTTCCTTTTAAATCTTTCCCTCTCACCTTAAACCTATGCCCTCTAGTTACGGACTCTCCTACCCCGGGGAAAAGACCTAGGCTATCCGTCCCTCTTATGATTTTATGAGCCTCTATAACGTCACTCCTCAGCCTCTGACACTCCAGGGAAAATACCCCCAGCCTATTCAGCCTCTCCCTTTAGCTCAAACCCTCCAACCCCGGCAACATCCTTGTAAATCTTTTCTGAATCCTTTCAACATCCTTCCTAAAGCAGGGAGATCAGAATTGCACACAGTATTCCATTTGTGGCCTAACCAATGTCCTAACAGTCGCAACATGGCCTCCTAACTCCTATCCTCAATGCACTGACCAATAAAGGCAAGCATATCAAACACCTTCTTCATTATCCTATCTACCTGTGACTCCACTTTCAAGGAACTATGAACCTGCACTCCAAGGTCTCTCTGTTCAGCAACACTTCCCAGGACCTTACCATTAAGTGTAGAAGTCCTGCCCTGATTTGCCTTTCCAAAATGCAGCACCTCACGTTTATCTAAATTATACTCCATCTGCCACTCCTCGGCCCATTGGCCCATCTGATCAAGGTCTCATTGTACTCTGATGTAACTGTCTTTCCTGTCCACTACACCTCCAATTTTGGTGTCATCTGCAAACTTACTAACCATACCTCCTACGTTCACATAGGAATCATTTTTGTAAATGACAAAAAGCATCAATCCTTGTGGCACACCGCTGGTCACAGGTCTCCAGTCTGAAAAGCAACCCTCCTCCACCACCCTTTGTCTTCTACCTTTGAGCCAGCACTGTATCCAAATGGATAGTTCTCCTGATATTCCATGCGATCTTTAGTATAGACAAATGCAGCAACCAATTTTAATCAAGTCCCACAAACAGCAATGAGACAGACTATCAACAAATCTGTTTGGTACTGTTGGTGAAAGAAAATTCCTAATATTACTTGGAAGAGTAGCATGAGATTGTTTACATTCACAAACTGACAAGTACTTGTGGATAGGGCAATACAGCCCCCTCTATAGACCATTGATGCACCAGCCCAAGTTATTTACTGGGCTCAATTCAAGAGAAATTTGAACCCACAACCTTCTGTCTCAGAGTTGAGCGCACTAAAATAGAGCCAGGATCCAATATTTTAAATAAAAACCAAAAGAACTGCTGATGCTGTAAATCAGAGAGAAAATAGAAATTGCTGGAAAAGCTCAGCAGGTCTGGCAGCATTGGGGAGAGAAATCAGAGTTAATGTTTCAGGTCGAGTGACCCTTCCTCAGCAACTGTTCTGTTCTTGTCTCCAATATTTTAAACACTGATGCAAGTACAGTACCTAAGGTATTGCATCATCAAGTTTCATATTCTGTAGAAAATTCACCCGGAAGAGAATTACTGAAACAGCAACACTGATAAAAGCGAATCAGAGATAGTAGGAACTGCAGATGCTGGAGAATCCGAGACAACAAGGTGCAGGGCTGGATGAACACAGCAGGCCAAGCAGCATCATAGGAGCAGAGAGGCTGACGTTTCGGGCCTAGACCCTTCATCAGAAAAGGGGGAGGGGAAGGGGGTTTTGAAATAAATAGGGAGAGAGTGGGGAGGCGGATAGAATAGGGATAGAGGAGAGGATAGGTGGAGAGGAAACAAACAGGTCGAAGAGGCGGGGATGGGGCCAGGAAAGGTGAGTGTAGGTAGGGAGTTAGGAAGGGGATAGGTCAGTCCAGGGAGGACGGACAGGTCAAGGGGGCGGGATGAGGTTGGTCGGTAGGAGATGGAGGTGCGGCTTGTCGGTAGGAGATGGAGGTGCGGCTTCCTCTACATCGGGGAAACCAAGCGGAGACTCGGGGACCGCTTTGCAGAACACCTACGCTCGGTTCGCAACAAACAACTGCACCTCCCAGTCGCGAACCATTTCAACTCCCCCTCCCATTCCTCAGACGACATGTCCATCCTGGGCCTCCTGCAGTGCCACAACGATGCCACCCGAAGGTTGCAGGAACAGCAACTCATATTCCGCTTGGGAACCCTGCAGCCCAATGGTATCAATGTGGATTTCACAAGTTTCAAAATCTCCCCTCCCCCCACCGCATCCCAAAACCAGTCCAACTCGTCCCTGCCTCCCTAACCTGTTCTTCCTCCCACCTATCCCCTCCTCCCACCTCAAGCCGCACCTCCATCTCCTACCGACCAACCTCATCCCGCCCCCTTGACCTGTCCGTCCTCCCTGGACTGACCTATCCCCTTCCTAACTCCCTACCTACACTCACCTTTCCTGGCCCCATCCCCGCCTCTTCGACCTGTTTGTTTCCTCTCCACCTATCCTCTCCTCTATCCCTCTTCTATCCGCCTCCCACTCTCTCCCTATTTATTTCAAAACCCCCTTCCCCTCCCCCTTTTCTGATGAAGGGTCCAGGCCCGAAACGTCAGCCTCTCTGCTCCTATGATGCTGCTTGGCCTGCTGTGTTCATCCAGCCCTGCACCTTGTTGTCTCGAACACTGATAAAAGCTTTCTCACCGTATGACTGTACTTCTGTCACGGTCCCGAGAGCATCGAATGTGTCTGTGGCTTTTCCAAATTCCCCAATTGTTGTATATTTCTGAAAATAAATTGGATAACTAAATTTTACAAGATTGCATTGACAGGCAGAACCAACAGCATGAATTCAAGGTAAATCACTATTTTTATGTCCATTATATTGTCATGTTTGTAGATATTGTCCAGAGTCAAATATTTTCACCATCCACTTTCTTTTGCAGTATGTCTTTCGTTAAAAAATGATTATTTGTTGCTCATTGCAGTCTGTGACAACTATCAGGGGGCTCATGACAGCATAAACAGAAATGGATCATGAATCTGCAAGCCAAGCAGCATCAAAGGAGCAGGAAAGCTGACGTTTCGGGTCGAGACCCTTCTTCAGAAATCTACACCTTGTTATCTCAGATTCTTCAGCATCAGCAGTTCCTACTATCTCTAGATCATGAATCTATTTGGTTGAATTTGACACTTGATTATTCATTACCCCCTCCAGCCTAAACTGCCAGCTGATTTGTGAAACAGTTAAAAGCACTAATATAATGGTGAATTATAGAGAAATAAAACCAAATTAATTCGATTTAGTGAATTATGTAATAGCTGATAGCAGCCACTACACAAACAACTTCTCATATAATAAAATGGAAAAAGAATGAGTAGTTTTTATACTATGAATGATTATTTTGAGGATTTTATTGTTAAAAAGAATGGAAAAACAAGTAATTTGTTGACATTTTCCCTGTAGCCCCTAGGACGCTACACCCCATACCTGATTGAGGGTGAATGGGCATTGGTCAACTTTTACTAGTTTTCAGCCAAACTGTTAAGACTTGGTATATGGTTCAAGGTGAATTTATGTAAATTTTCTCTCCAATATCCTGGCTTCTGCCTCTTTAAAATATGCTGTGCCTGACATGTAAACAATTGGCAGCAAGCCACCTGCAAGGCCAGATGTTAGACAAGGCTAGAGTCAAACTGCTGCCCCAGCTGTCATGTAGCATATTATCACAATGCCAGTTACTGGCACATGGAGGATTAAGCAGATTTATCAAAAACTGCTCATTATCCTGTGTCCATAAAACAAAACTTTAATGACAATAAGAATGCTATTTCATTGCTACAAATTACTGGTTTACTTGTCACTTCATTTCCCAGCTCAAAATGTTTTAAAGCACCATTTCAACTCACAACCTTTCAAAGATGAATTCAGAATTAAAATATGTATGTGACAATGCAGTAACAGCTAATTTTCAATCTACAAAATTTATTTTGCAACATAATTCACACTAGGAAAAACAAAGCAGAGTTAAATTCTATAACTGCAAAAGGCTTTTAAGATGTGGAGTTAAAAAGGACATTTGAAACAATATGACAAGAATAGAAAAAAAAATCAGATTCCTGATGTTGAGAAAAATATTTCCAATTTTCCCTTTAACTGTTCAGTTGCAAGTTCGCAGTCTTACTAATGAGCAGAAACAAACTTATTTCCAGTCATTTGCATCTTGCTAGTAGTGAATCTCAATTCATCTCTACTCAGCCCATCATTCTCTCCTTTCCTGAGAAATTTGAGGGCACCAAATCCAGACAAAACAAAACCAAAATAGTTACCGAGTGCTGAAGTTTACACTTGCTTCTCTGGGCATTCTCTGGTTGTACCATCATGACCATTTCCCAGCATGCTCCATGGACACAGTTCTCTTTCACCCTTCCTCCATGCAAGTGGGCATCACTGAATATTCAGTCTCACCACATCATCATGTCTGCTTTCAGAACAATTGTCCCACAACTTCAGCCCTTCACTTCGGACTCATGGACATTTGTATCTTGCATTCTTTTGCAGATTGCCTTGGATGCATTTCTCATGCATTTGCATAGGTTGTCTCTTAGCTTGCATTCTTACTACAGACTTTGAGGCTGCCAAACTCTTGTGAGTTGCATTGTTTTTAAGTGCAAAAAATTGTCAGCCACGCTCAAAGGTTGCCATCTTCTTTGACTTCCATTGCCCTTTAATGCAGAGGGCAAAGCAGGCAGCTCACCACTATCCAGATCTCCACACAGTTAAGGGAAGGTGGTGTGTGTGTGTGTGTGTGTGTGTGTGTGTGTGTGTGTGTGTGTGTG